GAAGACTGGAGAAGAATTGATGTTTTTGAGTTGTGGTGTAAGAGGGGAATAACGAAAGTACCATGGGCTGCCAAAAGACCCAACAGATAGATCTGTGTTGGAAGAAGTGCAGCCAAAGTGCTCCTTGGAGGCCAGGATGGCCAAACTTCATCTCTCATACTTTGGACATATTATTAGGAGGGACATAAGGTGGAGGGTCAGAAAAAAAAAGGAAGACCCCTAGCTAGATAGATTGGCAAAGTTGTAGCATCAGTGGGCTCAAGCGTGGCAACAATTGTGAGGTCGGCCCAGGACCAGGCAGTGTTTTGTTCTGTTGTGCATAAGGTCACTATGAGTCGGTACTGAATTCTTGATGGCACCTAACGAAAACAAGAAGGAACACCTTACTGAATGAGTGGATTCTGTCTGACAGCCAAGGATAGCTTTTAGTCACCCTGGTCTTTTAAAATAAGAACGTACCTAACCTTTTAAAGGAATTCTGGTGTGGTGCTGTGGATTAATGCATTGGACTGCAAAGGCAGTTTGAACCGCATGGTTGTTGGTTCAAACTCACCAGTCCCGACTCAGAAACCCTACACAGGGTTGCTGTGGGTTGGAATCGACACGAAGGAACTTAACAGAGCAACAACAACCATCTTTTAATCTGTTCTCGTCTATCTCTGTGGAACATGCAACCGTTCATCTCTCTTCCCTTTCTTTCAAACCCTTACATGGCACTCACTCACTGTTTCCCCCATGTTACGTGTCTAACAGGGTAACTGCCCATGGCTGGGTAAGTGCTGGGGCCCAGAATCAGTGATCTATAACAGCCCCATCCTGTACCCAGAGTCCTATGAGTCTTCTCAAGCCAAATTATCGGAGAGGAGATGAAGGGATACCTGCCGGGTCTGTCTTTTCTAGGGTGGGCAAAGGCTGTCATTTTCCAGAAGTAAGATCTTTATTTCAAAGTCCATGGAATGCAGCTGGTGTTTTTCCTGTTTCTTTTCTAGATGGCGTACATGGTTAATGTGATTGGCTGCTAACAGAAAGAAGGTTTCCTTTCACTCAAAGGTGCCTTGGAAGAAAGGAATGACAATCTATTTCCAAAAACTCAGCCCTGGAAACCCCTACGGAGCACAGCAGTATTCTGACACACACAGGGTCACCATGAGCCAGAGTTGACTCAGTGGCCAATGGCTGCTGATTCTAATGGAGCATGTTGCAGGCTATGAGACCTCAATGCCCTCTGGTCCACTACCTGTATCAGATCAGCTCTTGCAGAGGCCCAGGCCCTCATTAGGATCTCCTGATTAATTATGAGGCGATTTGTTCCTCACTGAACTTGAACCTGTAATTATGAAGCTCTATGCGAACCTATTATATCTGTCATGTTAATGAAGCATGAGATAGGGCTGACACACTCACAAATGATCCTTCCTTCTTGATTTAGTTCCTACAGCTATGTGTTCATTTCAACCTTTATATTCCACCATTCTTCTTAGTATATAAAGGATGGAGCAAGCTTGAATGGCTTGTGGTGAGATTGTTACTGCCGTTGTTGTTAAATGCCATCGAGTCAGTTCCAACTCCCAGTGCCCCTGTATAGGGTTTCAGAAGTTATGGATGTTTTGGGGGGCAGAACCCCCTGGCCTTGTGATTCTCAGTCCAGTGCTAATCCTATGGAGCCACCGTGTTCTGTGGTGAAATTAGAGACATAGGAAATTCAAACCCTGATGTATAAATCCAAACTCCATTTTCTAAGTTAATGAGCTACTCTTGAACTAAATATCTGGAAGTATAACCTATTAGTCAACAATTTGCTTTTTGGGATTAAAATCAGGATAATTTACAAATGGAGCAATTATTCTTCTTTGAGGGTTGCCAATCTATCACTAAGATAAGCTACACTAAAAAAAAAAAAAACATGTATTTTAGATAATTTGTCTGGTTTCATGATTCAGTGAAATAAAAATAACATGACTCAGGCTTCAAATGAGAAAATGGGCATCTTTCAGATGTTCCAAGACTTCTGTAAAACAACAACTGTCCTTGACAGTTTTCTTTAAGCCATGATTCTGATAAAAACTCAGGAACTGGGAAACAAAATGAAGAATAGGGAATAGTCCTTCATTTGGGCTCACTGCCTTAGTTCCTGCAGACTGCTCAGCATTCTAGAAATGAGTTTTTGGGCAGGTGAGCTCATACAGACACTCACAGACAAGAAGGTCCAATGATGTAGGCTCTGTGGGTAGAACCTAGGTCCACAGCCTCAGCTTCCCTTGAGCAGATGAGCAAAGCTCAGTCCAATGGACGCCGGTGGTCAGTCTGTAGCTACCCGAGCTTTCCGACAAGGGCAAGCTAGAAGCTGAGTCACTCACAGCACTTGCTGATTGGCTTGATTTTTGTTATCAGTAATAATAATGACTAGCTAGTATGGTTGAGGAAGGAGCCTTGGTAGCGTAGTGGATTATGCATTGGGCTGCTAACCAAAAGGTCAGCAGTTCAAAATCTACCAGCCATTCCATGGGAGAAAGATGAGCTTTCTGCTCCGGTAAAGATTTATAGCCTCAGAAACCCTATACAGGGTTGCTATGAGTTGGAAATGACTCGACGCCACACAACCAACATATGGTTGAGGAGTACTGGTGTGGTATTGTAGGATCAATACCACAAGGTATTGACCAAAACCATAAGGTCAGCAGTCCAAACCCACCAGCCACATCTCAGAAACCCTATACAAGGTCACTGTGAGTCAGAACCAACTGGATGGTACTTAACAACAACAACATGGCTGAGCACCTAGCATTCAAATGCCTAGGGTACCTTTGAGTTGATTCTGAGTCATGTGACCCCATGTGACAGAACCCAGCTGCCCACAGTGTTTTCTAGGCTGTCATCAATTCTGGAAGCACACTGCCATGTCTTTCTTCTGGGTGGGTTTGGATTGCCAACCTTCCTGTTAGCAGCTGAGCACGTAACCATTGTATCACCTTGTTTAAGGCACACTTACGTAAGTGCACCATCTTATATAATCTATACCACAGCCTTCAGAGTTAGATACAATTGCTATTATTATTCCCATTTGGCAGATGGGGAAATTGAGAAACAGAGAAGTTAGATGGCATGGAAAATAGCACTCTTCAGAAGGAATCTCATACTGGAATTGATATATAATTAAGCATCTAACAATTCATTAGAGTCATTAATAAATACAACCAGTATGGTTGACTTGATTGTAACAAATCTTCCTTTAGAGCAGCCAACTGCTGGTTCCCCTACTGTAAGCAGCGCTTTCAGAACCCTGTGGGTGTGTACCTTTCTGGCAGTGCAGCCCCTCGAAGCCCAAGGGGCAGTCACATTCATAGCCCTCCATCCTGGGCCGGCAGCTGCCCCCGTGGTCACAGTGGGTCCACACGCAGGGGTGGATCGCATTCTCCACATTCACACCGGACGTGAAGTCATGCTTCATGTGGATGGTCCGGTCGTTCAGGATGATCTTGGGGCCAGAAAATATAAAGACATTCAGGCATTCTGAAAACATCTTTCCTGTCTTCTCAAGCATCCCTCTGATTTCTAACCTGAGCTGTCACATAAAACAAACAAACAAAAAGCCTCTAACCCACTGCCTCGGAGTCAATTCTGACTAGTAGCAACTCATAGGACAGAGCTAAACTGTTCCACAGGCCTTCCGAGACCTTTACTGAACCAGACTCCCTTGGAGTGAGCTGGTGGGTTTGAACTGCCAACTCCTGAGTTAGCAACCTAGTGCATTAGCCACTGAGCCAGCAGGACCCCAGCTCTTCAACACAATAAGGGCGGGGGGGATGTCCAGCTCCTGCTTTTATAGTCTTGTGACAGAGAGGAGTCGCTGTGTGGGATCAAATGGTTCAGTGAGGGGCTATTCACCCTAAGGCTGGTGGTTGGAACCCACCCACCAGAGAAGCACTGAAACGAAAGTCTGGCAATCTGCTTCCAAAAGATCACAGTCAGGATAAACCCTGGAGAGCTCTACTCTGTAACTTCTGAGGTCGCCATGAGACCCGGTGTGGTGTTGTAGGATTAGATTGGACTGCTAACTGCAAGGTCTTCAATTCAAACCCACCAAGCGCTCTGTAGAGACCCTATACAGGGCACTATGAGTCGGGACACATGGGATGACACTTTACAACAATGTGAGCGAATTGAAACTGGTAAGTGCTTAAGGAGCTGAAGGGATTCCCTCTGGCACGCAGAAGAACTTGAGGAGTCTAAAGTGCTCCTTTGGATTCTGGAAGACCCAGAGGATGGAAGAGGCCCTAAAGAAGTCCCAGGGACTAGGAAGTGCATTCAAATTGCCTGAGGAAGTTTTAAGAAATATCAGTGCCCAGAGGCCCCACCCAAAGCAATTGGGTAAAAACCTAAAGTTGGGCCCCAGTCATCTGAGATTTTCAAGAGCTTTTCAAGTGATTCTAAGGTGCAGCCAAGATTGAGAAGACTCGTATGAAAGGATGCTTTAATATATGCTCTTGAAACGTTGGGCATGTAATTAATCAACAACAAATGCCGAAATGTGGGGAAGGCCAGACATTAGAGTTGACTCTTGTTTCAAGCAAACTTTAAAATCATTTCAAAGCGAAGCAAAAACCCAAGGAAACAGTCAATGTCTGGGTTATGAATGAATGGTTTATGTACATCCCATACTTATGAATCAACCCCTGCAAAGCCTATTGTATTAAAATTTTGAGGTACATACAGTGGTTCAAAAGGAGCTCTGACAGCGTAGTGGTTACGAGTCAGGATGCTAACCTCATGGTCAGCAGTTCAAAACTGCCAGCCATTCCAAGGGAAGAAAGATGAGGTTTTCTGCTCCTGTGAAGATTTATGGCCTCAGAAGATTTATGGACTCAGGGTCTCTATGAGTCACGGCACACCACCAACACCACCACAGGGGTTCCTAACAACAAACAGGTACTACTTTGCAAATCACATCAAAACATTATTATTCCTGGGTGGCCAGCAGTATAGTGAGACCTGGGGACTCCTGAGCCCATGGAGAGGGACATAGGCCCAGAGGGCTAGAGCAAAAAGTGAAATGCCCAGCTGATGTGAAGTGAGGGGAGATGCACAAGAATGCCCATACTTGCAGATAGTACCCATATGACCTAGCTTCAGTGGTTGGATGATCAGAACTTGACTAAAGGAAGAAAGGAGGAAAAAAAAAATGTAATCCACTACAATTTGATGAACTTGACATATACTTATGGATGTAGTAGCTTAAAAGAGGGAACAAATCTTTACAGCAAGGATCACTCCCACCCCCTTTGCACACAGGGTTTACAGGGAGGGGCAACTTAGATATTGGCTACCCAAAATGGGGAGGGGGGCAACAAAGGCACAAAGTGACTGGCTTACAAGGTTTCAAGAGGGAGCCTAGTTTCAGAGGGTTCAGGGGAAGGTAGAATCTCCACTGAGTGGATTCCAACCTGTCTGTACAGGGCTGGTGAAAGGACATGGGGATAAGATTCTTGTGGTTCAATAGTGAACAATTTCTATCAGGACTGACTGTGAATGTTGCAAATGTAAAGGCAGACATTTTGTAACAAAAGAAAGGTAGTGATTGATCTTACAGTCCAGGAGCAGAGGACCCTGGGACCATCAAGGGAGAAGAGCAGAGTGTGGGACCCTATCCAGAGAAGCAGCGACACCAGAGAAGGAGGCAGAGAGGATGATGTGGAGAAACGGTGCAGCTGGGGACTCTAGACTCGGGAGGGAGAAGAGCTGTGTGCTGGCAGGCAGGGGGTGGGTGGTGGCTGGAGTGCAGGGTATATCCTTTGGTTGTTTGAATGATTATATATTCCTGAGTGCTTTGGTGTACATCAAAAACAAAACCAAAAAAACCAGAGGAATTGGAAGCAAATACTGTTGAATTATGATGATGCACGGAGGGGATTGTAGTCATTGCAATGAAATGAAATATGATAGGATGACTGTAAAGCTGATGTTCTCCCATGTAAACTATCACTCAATTCACAATAAAATCTTATAAAAAATATTATTACTGTATTATTAAATTACAGAGGTTTTATCTAGAAGCATTTTTTAAGGCTTTTTAAGCATAGAAAGTTACACTATGTACAGTATACTAAGACAAACATTTGAGTAACTCATGTTAGGTACTAACAGTACCTGACTATTCCGACTTAACATATCTATTTAGCTTAAAGAGAGATTTAGGAACGGAACTAGTTTGTAATCTGGGTACTGCCTGTACTACTATTAGACTCACTGGCTTCCTTCTCTATCGTATAAGTACCCAGGGTGACCTGAGGTCATTTGTCCCAGGATATTCAGGTGAACTTGCTGAAAAATTTACCTTCATTGAGGAGCGTTCATAGGCTATCTGCTAGACATGGATCCAGGAGCAGGTGTTTAAGAAAGAGGGATTGGAAATCTATTCCACGAGCATTTAAAAAAATGAAACTTTAAACAGTTTGTAAATTTCTCAAAGATTCTTGTTTGGGTTCAGCAAATTATACTACTTGAAATCTATTGTCTTAAGCAAAAATTGCAGTCCAGTTCATAGCATAAATATGAGAAAGTTCAGACTCTACCTTCTGGATGCTCCCAGTAAATGATCTGAGGATGCCTGAGTTCGTCTTCACATCATCATAATCAGGGACTCCACCAATAAATATGTCTGTGTTGCACTTAATCTGCGTGAAGCCTCCCTGCCAACAGAGAAAGAACAATATAATTTGGAATAGAATCTCTACAGTATCAAATATGCTTTGTGTCTGTTTGGGAACAAAATGGTAGAGACAGCCTCAGGATCCATCCCAACGATCTCAACACATATGCTTAACTTTCACATATGCTTAACTTGTCACTGTAACTTACCAACTGTGGTACTGCTATGTGCCACCAAGTGTTTGAATGGTAGTAAGTGTCTTAACCTGACACTCAGTTTCAACATCTTTAAAATGGGTGTCACAGTCTCTGTTGGGATGAGTTTGGTAGACTGAAGTACCATTTGTCTGTACTTTGTGACTGCTCCCTGCAAGAATGGTATCTCCAAACCTGCCATCTCAGGTGTACTCATGTGATTCGCTTTTCTTGATAAAGCATGAGCAGAAAAGACATGAATCACTTCTGGACAGAGACTTTCAGAGTCAGAGAGTGGTTGGCCACACTCTTTTCTCCTTCTGTTAAGACCATTTGTCAGTCTCAGAGTAAAGCTGCAGCTAACCATTAATAAGCAAGGAGCTCTGGTAGTGTAGTGGTTACACATCAGGCTGCCAACCTCAAGGTCAGCAGTTTGAAACTACCAGCCATTCCATGGGAGTAAGATAGGGCTTTCTGCTCCTGTAAAGATTTACAGCCTTGGAAACCCTACACAGGGTCTCTAAGAGTCGGAACTGACTCCACAGCACACTACCACTACCATCACCAGCAGCAACCAGGTCAATAAGCAGGCGCTCTGACACCATTGTCAGATGCCGCCTATTCAGCCCCACCTCATGGTGACCCGTGTACAACACAATGGAATGCTACCTACTCCAGTGTTTTCTACAGGATCAGTTACAGGTCAACTATTGTGATGCATGGGGTTTCCATTGGCTGGTTTTCAGAAGCACATTGCCTGTCCACTCTTCCTAGTTCTGCCAGTGTCTGGAAGAACTGCAGAAACCTGTCTGGCATCACAGAAAGAAGTTAGCCTCCACTGGCAGGGGGAGCTGTGCATGAGGTGTATAGTCCAGGAATCAAACCTAGGTCGGCTGCATGAAAGGGGAGAATTCTACCACAGAACTACCATTGCCCCCAAACCCTTATTATCGACTCCTGATATTTTGGAGTTGTTTGTGGCTGACTAGTACAAGCCAGTCTGGCTTTGGGGAGGAATCAATGTGATACTTTGCACAGAGCTGGATACCTTCGAGTATGGCCAACTATTGTCATATTCTGTAACGGTAACCATGGAACTCTTGTGAGGTCAACAGAGAGGGCGAGGCACATGGGTGGGAGACGCTCCTTATTATCCCAGACAAAGGATGAGAAAGTCTCCACTTATAGAATTCTCAGGGAGCTCCCAATGTCAGTTTCCAAAGACTCTGGATGTTTCTTGTCATTTTAACAGCCTAAACTCCAGTGGGTGGGCTCGATTGTCAGCGGTGTGTAACATTTAATGTCTAAACTCATTCAAATAGGAGCCTTCCGCAGCATGTTGAAATATCACAGAATAACACTGGTGTTGTTGTTGTTGTTGTTGTTAGGTGCTGTCAAGTTGGTTCCAACTCATAGTGACCCTGAGTACAACAGAACGAAACACTGCCCACTGCAGTACCATCCTCACAATGGTTACTACGCGTGGGCCCACTGTTGCTGTCACTGTTCCAATCCACCTTGTTGAGGGTCTATTTTCCACTGACCCTTTACTCTAGCAAACATGATGTCCTTCTTCAGGGGCTGGTCCCTCCTAGTAACGTGTCCAAAGTATGTGAGACAAAGCCTCAACACCTTTTGTCTATAAGGGACATTCTGGCTGTACTTCCTCCAAGATAGGTTTATTTCCTCTTCTGGTAGCCCACAGTATATTCAATCATCTTTGCCAACACTATAATTCAAAGGCATCCATTCTTCTTCGGCCTTCCTTATTCATTGTCCAATTTTACATGTATATGAGGCAATCAAAAATACCATAAGATAACATATAAATTAAAAAAAAAATGAGACCTCTGGAGATGAACACACTTTCAGAACCTAAGTTACTGTTTGCTTTGGCTTATGGGGAAAGCAATACAAACAGTAGCTAAATGCAATCATTTATTCAACACCTACTATTGGCTGCCTGCTGTATCCCAGGCACTGTGATTAGTGCTGGGCAAATTAAGAAAGACCTATTCCTGTCCTCAGGAGTCCTGGTGTGGCACTGTAGGTTAATGTACTGGACTGCAAAGTCGTTTTGAACCACAATGTCGGCGGCTCAAGCTCACCAGCTGTTCTTTGGAAACCCTACACAGTGTCACTATGGATCAGAAATGACTTGATAGCACTTAACAGTTCCTGTCCTCAATTGGCAATACAGACACGTAAAGGCACTTGGGATCCACACTGTCATGGGATTGCCTTTAGGTGCATCTGGGGTGGGGGGGAGGGGGAAAGGGGACATGTGTCCCACAAACCTGACACCTAGCAACCAGGAAACCTTTAGGGTCCTGATTTAATGGGGTGGGTGGGGTTTGCGGGGGAGGGTGTCATCAAAGAAGCAAAAAGGTTTTCAGGAATCCTTGTGGTCAAATGAAACACGGCACCAGTCAGGAACTGCCACCACAAACCACAGGTTGTCTTGCCTTTTATCTGAAAGTTAAAATAAGATCATAAGAGGGAAGAAGGAAGGTTACGGGGTCAAAGATGACTTCAGAGATGTGTGTTGAAAAGAGACCACTTTGAAACAACTTGGCAGCAAGAGCTAGGATTGTGCCCAGCATAGGAGTAGGGCCTGGGGGGGAGCCTGAGGGGGTGTCTTTTGGCTGTTCCTCAAAATCCTGCCCCACTCCCAACCTTTCCTGTTGACAGAGGCAGGGTGGCAGCCGCCACACCTGAGACCACAGGAGAGAAGCAAACAGATTCCAGCAATGGAGCAGGTGCCTTGTGTCCAGATCTGCTACTTCCCTTGAGTTGGAGCCAGTTTGAAATGCTGAGCAGGCCCACAGCCTGGGGGTTTCTGAAGCGCCTAGGAGCCCTGCCCACTATTGCTGGTCCTGAATAGCTGGGCTGAGGGCGTGCTGCATGTAATTCTAGTGTCCCTGGGTGTTGCAAATGGTTAATACACTTGGCTGCTAACTGAGTTCACTCAGAAGCTACTCAGTAGAAAAGTCTGGTCCTCTACTTCCAAGACTGTATCCGCAGAGACTCCTTGACTCACTGTTTACCTGACATGATCTGAATTAACTGCATGGTAACCAGGTTGATGTTTTGGATGAGGTGGGTATTTCTCCGTCAAGCATTCTGGGCCAGTCTGGACACAGACTGTATCTAAGTCCTGAGTGAGTCCCCCAAGGTGGTCCCTGCCTCTGCCAGTCCCTAAGCTTTCTGACCACTCCTACTGCTAGCCACGATGTTGAACAGGTGGGAAGCATTTAGAAAGTAGAATCCTAAACCTGGAGTGATGTTGCTTTTGTTGTTAAGGGCCATCGAGTCGGTTCTGGCCCATAGCGACCCTGTGTAGGGTTTCTGAGGAGCAATTAGTGAGCTTGAACCACCGACCTTGTGGTTTAAACTGACTTTGCAGTTTAGCACATTAACCCACAGCAACTTGTTTTAAAGACACAACTCACTGAGGTCAAAAGCTCCTGGCTCAAGCAGCATCAGCAGAACTACCTTTGCACACCTGATGGTCACACCTTCCGTGTGACTGCCAGACTTTCAGCTGGGCAGTGATCCATTCTGGGCCATCATCCAAACCCGTTTGCCAAGAGAAAGGGCAAAGGTTCTCCCACCTTACTTTCAGTTTCATTTACTGACAAGGCAGTGATGGAAACTCTGAAGCCTGGTTTTCACCTTAGAGATTTTTTCGCTGTAGGATCCTAATTGGTAGATAGTGTCCTTAAAGCTGCTATTATTTACAAATACTCCAATCCTAAACTTTGGTGTTACAGATGGTTCTACTGGAGTCCTGGTGTGGATAAGTACTGTACTGCTAACTACAAGGGTGGTGGTTCAAACTCATCATCTGCTCTTTGGAAACCCTATACAGGGTTGGCTTTGTAGATAAGCACTGGATCCCAAGGTCAGTATGAACCTTGAGACTGGCAGTTCGAACTCACCAGCCGCTCCTTGGAAACTCCGTACAGTGTCACTATGAGTCAAAACTGACTAGATGGTACTAAACAACAACAACAACATGGGTTTGAACTGACTTGTTGTTAAGTGCTGTCAAGTCGGTTCCGACCCATAGCCACCCTGAATGGGATTTCCAAGGAGCAGCTGGTAAGCTTGAACTGACGACCTTGCACTTCAAACGGCTTTGCAGTCTAGTGTATTAACCCACAGCACCACATCTGAACTGACTGGACAACATTTAATAACAACTATGAATTGGGCTGCGAACCACAAGGTCAGCAGTTCGAAACTACCAGCTGCTCTGAGGGAGAAAGATGAGGCTTTCTGCTCCCGTAAAGATTTACAGCCTTGGAAACCCTGATCAGGGTTGCTATGGGTCAGAACTGACTCCACGGCACTTAACAACAACAACAAGGAAGACCTAGATAGATACAATGGCTTTTTAAATGTGCATGATTACGCCAACCATAGTCATGTGTATCCTTTGTGAACTTCTGCTTTAGGCTAAAATCAGCTGTTAGCATTTTCTGGATTGTTTTAGAAGTGATTCCTGTTTTCCCTTTAAAATCCATGTCTTTTCATCCACTCTGCTCCCTCCCTCTCTTTTCCCTTTCTGTTCTTCATTCCACAAATACTTAAAGCTTTCTAGATATGAATGACTCTTGATTTCTGAAGCAGATTCTAATTCAGGATTCTCCTCATTACCAAAACGGTCCTTGGTACCCACCGGAGTGTCTACCACTGGAATCTGTGAGGCTGGCTTCTGGGCAGGGTGCACTTTCTCCTCTTCCCCTAAAACATCTCTTTCCTACTAGGGTTCTCGTCTTGTTAATCAGAAAACATAAATTTGTCTATATTGCATGTCTGAGGTTATGTCCAAAAGGAAACAACATATTTAAGAAGAGAACATATTTAAGTTGCTTTAGGAACTATAATCTATTAGGATTCTGCAGGGAAAACAAAACTGCAGTGCCTTAAAAAACAGAGGGTACCTTAGATTTGCCAGTATCTTAATTCACAACAATTTTTATTTTGTGTGATGTTCATTTACAATATCCAGCATCATTGTATTAATAACAGTGGGGTCCTGGTGTGGTGCTGTAGGATAAGCACTGGACTGCTAACTGCAACGTTGGTGGTTCAAACTTTTGCTCCTTGGAAACCCTATACAAGGACTCTGAGTCAGAACGGACTCAACTGCATTTAACAATAACCACACCCTTAAATCCACTACACCCTGATCCAATGTATTGAGATTCCCAAGAATGTGGCATATAAACCTTTTCATCATTACAAGACATAAAGGAGAGAGAAGTGAGCCGAGAAAGAGGGACCCATTACCACCAAGAAAGAAGAGCCCGGAGTGGAGTGTGAACTTTGTACCGAGGGGCCCTGCACTGTGAAGCTCCTAGATTCGGGGACAATTGATGCCAAGACATATGGAGATCTCCAATGTAAGCTGGGCCTACAGATGCTGAAAGTATACAAGAATCTTTTCCCAGAGCCGATACACTTAGTTCAGACCTCTAACCTCCTAACCTATGAGAGAATACATTTCTCTGTGTTAAAGTCATCCACTTGTATTTCTGTTGTATCAGCACTTGATAGCGAAGGCACCCCATTCGTGTTGTTGTTAGGTGCTATTCAGTAGGCACTGATTCACAGTGACCCTATGCACAACAGAAAGGAACACTGCCTGGTCCTGTACCAACCCAGCAATTGTTGCTATGTTCGAGTGCATTGTGGCTGCCACTGTGCCAGTCCATCTCATTGGGGGAACTTCCTGTTTTTCTCCCACCCTATACTTTACCAAGCATGATATCCTTCTCCAGGGACTGGTCCCTCCCGATAATATGTCCAAAACATGAAAGATGAAGGTCTGGCTATCCTGGCTTCCACGGAGCATTCTGGTTGTACTTCTTCTAAAACAGATCTCTGTTCTTTTGGTAGTTCCTGATACTTTTAATATTCTCCTCTATACCATGACTTAAATGCATCAATTGTTCTATGGATTTTGTCAGTCACTGTCCAACTTTCACTTGCATATGAGAGTATTGAAAATACCATGGCTTGGGTCAGGCGCACCTTAGTCCTCAAACGAACATCTTTGCTCTTCAACACTTTAAAGAGGCCTTGTGCTGCAGATTTGTCTAATGCAATACATCCTTTGATTTCTTAACTGCTGTTTCCTTGAGTGTTGATGGTTGATTGGAGCAAAATGAAGTCTTTGACAACTTCAATCTTTTCTCCATTTATATGGATGTGATTTATTGGTCTAGTAGTGAAGATTTTTGTTTTCTACACATTGAAGTGCAACCCATACCAAAGATTGTGGTCTTTGATCTTTATCAGTAAGAATTTTAAGTCCTCTTTGCTTTCAGCAAACAAGGTTGTATTATCGGCATACTGTAGGTGGTTAATCAATCTTCCTCCAATTCTGATGCCACATTCTTCTTCATATAATCCAGCTTCTCTAATTATTTGCTCAGCATACAGATTGACTCCGTATGGTGAAAGAATACAATCCTGACACACATCTTTCCTAATTTTAAATCATTTGGTGTTCCCTTATTCTCTTCGAACAACTGCTATGAAGAAGTCATTGGTCTTGCAAAATTCTGTCATGTGATCTCCAGCATTATTTCTATCACTAAGGTCCTATTTTCCAACTACTGATCCTTCTTTTTGCTTCCAACCTTTGTATTCTAATTGTCTGTAATTATCAATACACCTTGATTGTATGTTTGATCAATTTCAGACTGAAGAACTGATAGAATTCTTGAACTTCATCATTATTGGTTTTAGTGAGTGGTGTGTAAATTTGAATAATATTGGTATTAACTGGTATTCCTTGTAGGTGTATGGATACTACCTTACCACAGACAGCACTGTACTTCAAGACAGATACTCATATGTTCTTTTTAAATGATGAATGCGTTGCTATTCCTCTTCAATTTGTCATTCCCGGATAGTTAACACCAATGTTCAAAATGGCCATTGCTGTCCATTTCAGCTCACTAATGCCAGTATTTCACCATACTTATTCAACCTGTATGCTGA